ATATTTTGTTTAACTTTTTGAATTATTTGAATCTATATATATATTAAAGGAAGAACCAAGAGTATTGAGGTGACATCATGAGAATTGAGGTGTTGATGAATTGTGGTTGAGTTTGAGATATCTCACATTGGTGTAGAATTGAAAATTTTGAACAATATGAAGTGTATAAGAAAGGTGGATTGGATGCCTTTGTGTCAAATATGGGGTTTGCCTCATTGAATTGTCTTTCTTTGGATGACCTTATTTGAAATTTATAACTATGGTTGGAAACCAATCAAACCAAATGGTAGAAATTATAGTGCAAAATTATTATACTATTATATCTTTATATATATATATATATATATATTTATATATATATAAGTAAAACCTTGGGGTGATAAGGTGACAGTATGAGGATTATAAAATTTTAAACCTTGCGGTGATGAGGTGGAATATGGATTGGTGCATTTGTGTCGATTCATGGAGTTTGTTTCAATGGGTATATATACATGTATGTATATATTTATATTTTATTTAACTTTTTGAATTACTTGAATACTATTTGTAGATGATTTTATTAACAACTAATATATATTTATATAGACAATATGCAGATCATTAATCAAAGTACTCATACTACCGCGCAACGCGCGGTTCCCATACTAGTAAGTAAAATTGAAAGTACAATGCTATAATAAATAAAATTTATAAAAGTAAGTTACTTTTTCGCGTATTTTGTACAATTTTAAAATAACTGTATTAATAACAGAAAAAACATAGAAGTTGAGGGGTCGTATTGTCAATTCTACAAACCTTTGATAGCAACACCGGCATTAGGGGTATGAAAACCCACCCCATGATGGAAACACGCCGGATTTTCCTGTAAGAATCGTTGATCGATAAATCTGGTGAGTTTACTACACGAATCGCTTTTCATCGAACATCAAAAACCCTAAACCAAATCGAGAGGAAACGTAAAAATCGTTGCCGTCAAAGGGAACGAGGGTTTTCTAGTTCTTCAACAACGCGAGCAACGGTTCTTCAATAATATAAGCAACGATTTGAGGTATGTTTTGTATGCTTAAGTATTAAGTAATGATTTACTGATGTTTAGAAACGTTAAACGAGTCGATTGGTTTGGTTTTGGTTTTGGTTTTGGTTTTGGGGTTTTCAATGCCGGATAGATCGTTAACTCATGGGACTGTGATGGTTCGCATGAGAGTTTGCTGTAAGAGCAGCACCGGTCTTGCCGGGCGTTTACACCATCGAAGCAATTTGTGAAGTAATTTTAGTCCATTTCTTCAGCATTGGATTAGGGTATAGTTATTGGAATTATAGTTTTTCTGTATTGATTTTAGTTTTCGTAATTAACCTGTATTAATTTTGATTGATTATAGGTAGATTTTTCCCACTGATTGGTGCCGTGCTCTAGCTTCATCAAATCAAAATCATGGAGGTTAGTCTAAATATGAACTCGGGTATTCTTTAACTAAGCACAAAAAATTCATTTCTTATCAGTCATAAACTTGTTTGATTTTCAATTTGCCACTACAGAATCCGATTGACATAGACAAGATAAAGGAAACGTTGGAGCCTGATGCAACTGGTGGTGGTGGATTACAGTTGCCTGGGAAAGATAGGGTTGTCTTCAGACCGCCCGAGAGGAAATCATTACTAGGTCAGTATGCTAAATTGATACAGTGGAACATATTTACAGTTTTCCCTAATCACTATTGCTAGAGCTATCTGATTTTGTGACAGAGATAACTGGCTTGGGATTTAGTATCTTGTGGGAATGTTTAAAGCCAAAATAATATATGTTGCATTGTTCTGCCTGATATAAGAACCAGATATCTTCGATTTAGTATCCTAAGGTTTAAGTATTTTGCATCAATAATTAGTCCATTTGTGACGAAAGTGTAAGTGTGTTTCTTAGTTGTTTGTCACCAAGGGAGGAGTATTTGTATCTGTTAAGTGTCTATGCAAGTTTACTTCAGTGAACTGAATTGACAAATTATCAGCAGTGAAGGGCTAACTTGAGCTACTTTTTCCTTTGAGAAAGGGGAGAGGGGGTGTTGTTTGTCTTTATAAAGGTCTTTTGTGTTAAATTGGATGGAATTATTAGCCCCTTGCTGTCCTGTTGATTGTTGATAAGTTATTTCTGGTTTTTTATTCTTTACTGATTTTTTGCAAGTTCCATGTCATATTTGTACCTATTATTCTTTCCCCCCCTTCTCTTTATTATACTATGATTGTCTGTGTGGATGTTCTTTGTATTGAAATCAGGCACTTATTAACACTTTATCAACTTACCATAAGAGATTCTTTCTGTATTGTTCATCTTGTTTCATAGTCTTCACTGAATGATACTCTTGTTCCTTTATTTTTCCTTGCATGCATCTGCAACAGCTCATGTATCTTGCTTGAGTTTTTGTTGGTTAACATTACTGCATTCTGAGGAGTCATCCTTCACCTTATCTTTTAAAATACAAATTTTACTATAAATCAGGGTTAGATGTCCTTGCAATTGAAAAACGAGGAGGATCACAAGTAGAAGGATCGTTTAAAGTTCCTAGAGAAAAAGCTTCTTCTATGCTGGCATATCTAGACGAAGAGGTGGAAAAGTCTACATCCTTGCTCACAGGTCTAGATGAAGTTGGAAGTGGTGTATCCAGCAGTGGACGCAATTTTTCAAGCAGACGATACCGTGATTCTGGCGGGAGCAAGACATCAGATTTGGGTATTATTCTTATTTGGGTTTTTCTTGATACCTGTCAGAGACTGCTCTCAACTCTTTTGTATCCGAAATTGTTTCCAGATTTGTTTACCAACTTTATATATGTATACTGGTTACTATTGGCTGCAAATTGTAGATAGCCTGGGGGTTAAACGAGAGGGGACCAACATAGCAAAAAAGGAAAACCTAGGATAAGGGGATGGGGGTGGAGGCTAGATTTTTGCATAGAACTGGGTATTTTTAATCGATGATTTGAAAAGTAGTGCAGTCTGCAGAAGAAGGTGGTGCTGCTAAGGATAAACATAAAGTCATCTATACAATTTTATCTAATTGTAATGTTTCTTAATGTTGCAGAAAGTCAAATCACTGAAGAAGAACGAGTTGGTGGCACATCTGCTAGGCATGGTTCAGATTATAATTCTGAGGTATGTTTTGCTGTTTGAGTTGTGATTACACCAAGCTAAGTAGTTAAGACATATAAACGGAGTGCATATTTCTAATTTATTTATCTTAGTGGTCATGACCTTAATTTGCTGCTTAATATTTTAACCGGCAACCCAATTCCATTCTTGTGTTGAAGGAATTAGTATAGTTTTAGATGATACATCTTCCTTGTGGAACATAAAGAACCCCAAAATGCGACTGTGTTTGGTTGACTAGAATAGATGCTGGAATGGAATGCATTATTTCAAAGAATTAGGGAAGACATGCTTGGTTAGTACTTACGAATGCACTTACGCATTACCAAATGAGTACCTGTTCCTTCTTCTCATATCAATTCCATATGGCAATGGGGGTGGAAATTACATGATATCCCTGAATCTATTAAAGAAAAGAAACCCTATAGATCAAATCAAACCAACAGATTACATCAGCTCGACTTTTGTTTTCTTAACTTCCATATGTACCTCTGTTTACTATGACCAATTGGTGGCACATACTGCTGATACAAAATATCAAGCAAAATCTAATACAATGTGGACAACTCAGATGGTGAGGAGGACCACTCAAATTGAGAGTACAGCAATGAATACATGGCTAGGATGAGGGGGATAATGAGTTAAATGAACTCTCTATTCATCCTTGTAATCAATATCTAATTTCTAAAATATAAAACTATAACTTGATTTGTTTTGTTTGCCTTTTCCTTTTGTCAATGATGCTTTTTTTTGGCCATTATATTCAACATGTTAATTTTGAGTCCAAACATGGAAGTTTCTTCTAAGAACGCTAGTTATTTTTGCGTTACAACTACACCTCTCAATTGGTCTTGTCCAAAAATTTGCTTTTTGGTTAGGTAAGTGAGTTTGTTTGCTTGTTTAATTGTTGCGTTAAGTAGAACTATAAATGGATTACCAACTGTGCATTTTTGTCTATAAAGGTCATGTTGCTGGCAAAGAATAAACAGATCGATCATCATGAAAAACAAACATGACGGGCAATCAACAAGTAACGGAGGTGGCAAACTATCAAGGATCTCTTAGTTTCCATATACCCCCTGATTTGGCAGGTCTAGGAAATAATCTTTGTACTAAGCTTGTGACAACCATTTCCACAGTCGTCTTAAATGCTTGAGGTTGTCTTAGTTTCGACAAGGGCCCTTTATTAATTTTTCTTTGAATATATGTTTATCAAGAAGTACCAACTATCTAAATTTCAAACTCACTATTCTTGAACATTTTTCACTGCATTCAACTGCTTGCCAAGAGACATCACATCTTTCCTTTTCTGTTCCCAGACATCTTAACCTTCCTCTTGTTAGCTGTAAATCATCTATGTGTGTGCATCCAGTGTTTACTCCCTTGGGTATAAAACTATTGGTTCTGCATAGAATTTGAGCGTGCTGGTTGGTGTTTCTTGCACTGATCCCCGTTCCTCTACTTTCAAGCTGAAGTGCATAACACAAAAGATATGTTAGTATGAACGGAGTTATTATTAACGTTATCGTGTTTAGTATTCAAACGAAATACTGGGTAATGCATTTCTGTCTTTATCTTGCAAGATGAACATCTGGTTGCAATCAATTCCCTTTTTTCCAGTTAATGCAACATGCCTTTTGTTAATCATAAAGATTTAGACAATTTATTTGTAGTATCTTGATTCATCAATTTAAGTTATTTCTTTTGTAAAATGTTACATTAGATGCCCATACTTGATATTGATTTCTTACTTTGATGTTTTAGGATGTTACCCCTTCATCCAGAAGTTCCCGTAGTATCCAGCATCGTAGTTCTAGGTATGATTCAACAGAGCATGGCATGCGTAGAAGTGATTCCAGAGATCACCCAAGAAGTGAAAGTAGGGGGTCAAGGAGATATAGTACTGACAGGGATGAGCGGGACCATTCAGAATCACCTCGTCATGGAAAAGAGTACAGAGAGTATGGGAATAAGAGAAGCAGATATGAAAGTTCAAGAAGGACACCTGGTATGTAGTATGTAAGTTACTTGAGAATGATCTATATGGTACTCCAGGGCATGTACATGCTGCAGAAACATTGTTGTTAAGTGCAACTTAGATGACAACTCCGTGAGCATAAATGCAGATCCCTTTTATGTTTGGGTTCTCATAGTCGGAAAATACATTTCTCTTAACTGAAGGAGCTTTCCATTCTCATTCCATGTCTATCATAATGCCTATTTTATGTTTAAGTAGAACTTGATTGTTATAACAAATTAAGAACATGCATTTGGCTGTTGTAGGCAGATCTGATTGGGATGATGGAAGATGGGAATGGGAAGATACACCACGTCGTGATAGTCGTTCTAGTAGTAGCAGACATCATCAACCTTCACCATCACCAATGTTGCTTGGTGCTTCTCCTGATGCACGATTAGTATCCCCTTGGCTGGGAAGCAATACTCCTCAATCTGGTATGTTGGAACATTCTGTTGGATTTTGATTTGAGTTGCATACTTTCGATATTATGCTTTCTACTCTTGGTTGCTTGTACTGACTACTATCAGAACACCTACAGGGCATGCTGCTTCTCCCTGGGACAGTGTGGCACCGTCGCCAGTTCCAATCAGGGCATCTGGGTCAGTTAGATCTTCAAGTTCAAGATCTGGTGGAAGGTCTCGGCAACCACTCTCTGCGGAAAATCCCCTACCCTCTGAGGTAAAATCACACTTTCTTTTCTTGTTTTCCAATCCCCAATGGAGTAAGCATCTGGCCTTTTATCTTTTGTCTAGGGGACAAATGTGCTCTCTTTGTTTGACCTTTTCTAATTTTTTCGTGGTGTAGAATGAAGATTTTGAAAAGGAAAAGTTTCACAATACAGAGATAACTGAGAGTATGCGGTTAGAGATGGAATACAACTCTGATCGTGCATGGTAAGTTCATCTTACCTGATATTATCAAACTAGGGTCTCTTTTTTAACAGCCTGTGAGAGTGAGATTGATCATTTTTGTTATTTGTTACCAATTGCATTATTTCATTCCCTCCTTGTGTTTTCATGCTCTTTTGGTTTTGATAAGGTTCTAAACCAAATAGATCCTTTTTTCTTCTCTGAAATCGTGAGCATGTGTTTGTGCATGAAACTGATGTGTAATGTGTTACTTGTGTGTGCCTGTGCGGTAACACAAAAACCGTGATTGCAAATCATTAGCATAGAGGGATATATGTCATAATGCATTGCAGCTGTTTCATTGAAAGATATATAATTTTAAATCAACTCTTCGTTGCTGGTTGGCGATACATGGGTGTGTCATAGGCGCATTGCAGCTGTTACTTTGAAAGGGGGATAATTTAGAAATGAATCTTTGTTGCTGTTTGGTGAAGGTTTTTTTTATTACCAATCTTTTAGTTCTAGCATCTATGATCTATCAAATCTCAACTTTAACTATTGCTTATAAGGGTTGTGTTAATGTCCCCTAATAATCAAACAGGCTATGTGAAGTTCTGGTCTCATCACGTAAATACTTTCTAGACTTTGTAGGAGTTATATTGATGAATTAAATCTATTAAAGTAGTGTATCATTGTATGCCTTCTAGGAGTTATACTTCTTAATATTGTGATTTTATCAATTCTTACTATTTCAATGTACAAGCTGCTTTCAATGTTCAAAATTAACCTGGTTGTTATCATAGGTATGACAGTGAAGAAGGCAATACTCTGTTTGATGCCGACAGCTCATCATTTTATCTTGGCGACGTGGCATCTGTCCAGAAGAAAGAAGCAGAGGTTACGAAAAGACTGGTATGTGTACTGCGTGTTACTGTCGTAGTATGACACTTGCATGAGCTTTTAGAGCATCTCTAACAGGTTCTCTAAAATGTAGAAAATAGACATCTTGGGGATTTTGGGCATGTTTTTTGCTCCAACAGATTCTCCAAAACCTTTCTTCAAAATAGAGAAAGTAGGAGGGAGAGTGTAAAATCTCCAAATTTGGAGAACACCCCAAAAATGATTACAATGAGAGATTTTCTTTAAACATATTCCCACCAATAGGAAACTTTGAAATTAAATATTTAGAGAGAGATAATTTTTTATTAGATGAATTGTGAATGGAATATTCTAATAGCATTATCAATGTTGTATTCTCCAAATGGAGAATCTGTTGGAGTCGAGTGTATTTTTGTTTTAGAGATTTTGAAGTTCCATTATCCATTTTAAGATGGTGGAGATTCTCTTAGTGGATGTGCTAAATTGTCGTCATGAGTCTAAACCTACTGCAGACCGTTCTGAGTTTGTTGAGGAATTGTTATTTGTATGGGCCTTAGCTTTGATGTCTATTCTAACATAACTATAATCTTATCTAATTTGGTGCGATGCTCGAATCATAGGTTCGTAGGGATGGAACCCAAATGACACTTGCTCAGAGCAAAAAGCTGTCGCAACTTACTGCAGATAATGCTCAATGGGAGGATCGGCAGCTTCTGAGATCCGGAGCTGTCAGAGGTACAGAGGTCCAGACAGAATTTGATGACGAGGAAGAACGGAGGGTTATTCTTCTTGTTCATGGTATGGATTACAACTTTCTAACAGTACTTTTAGGTTCCGTTTGGTTTTTAGGATTGGATAGGATTTGGAGTTCAACTCCATTCCATCCCATGTTCGGTTTGGAGGATTACTTGTATCTGAAATCCCACAAACATGGGATTTAGAAATCCCATGGGGATTCTTGGTATTTTGCTGGATTTCGTAGGATGTGTGTAGTTATCAATCAATAAAAAGGTAATTTAGTTATTTTTGTAATTGTTTATAGTTTGTTTTGTAAATTATTTATAAAACATGGAATTCAATTCCATTCCAAATCCTACAAACCAAACACACCAAAGATTTTAAACCCTTCCAAATCCAAATCCCTCCAATTCCAAATCCGTCCACGAACATCTCTCAAAACATTCCATCAAACAAAATGCCCCGTTAGGGATTTGTGCTTATTTTCTAATTCAGTATTTCAAGTTCATTGAGGCTTTTGCTGAAAATTTAGCTTTTTGATTCAGATACAAAGCCTCCGTTCTTGGATGGGAGGATTGTGTTTACTAAGCAAGCAGAACCTGTAATGCCTCTAAAGGATCCTACATCAGATATGGCTATTATTTCAAGAAAAGGTTCCAACCTTGTTCGTGAAGTTCATGAAAAACAAAGTATGAATAAATCCCGTCAACGCTTTTGGGAACTTGCTGGTTCAAAGCTTGGTAATATTCTTGGTGTTGAGAAGACGGCAGAGCAGGTTGATAGCGTGTTAAATTTATTGTTGTTTAATGTAAGTGTTTTAATTCTCTGTTTATAGCGTAATATTTGCTTTATATACATATCAGATCGATGCTGATACGGCAGTAGTCGGTGAAGATGGTGAAGTTGATTTCAAGGAAGATGCAAAGTTTGCACAACATCTGAAAAAGGGTGAAGCAGTGAGCGATTTTGCCAAGTCAAAATCACTATCTCAACAACGACAATATCTGCCTATATTTTCTGTGCGAGATGAATTGTTGCAGGTGTGGTTTTCATATGCTGTTATTTTGTACAATATATAACCAAAAGCGGCTATCTCTTTGAAGAAAAAGTACAGGAGAACCTCTATAATTAATGCTCCATAAATTAATAAATTTTGTAAGATAAATTTCTATTTATTTTTTTAATTTACAAACACAACTAAAACAATATACTATTCTATTCTAGTGTTTGTTGTTTTTTTTTCTAAAATTTCAATCTACTTGAAAAAGATCACCGATTTCAAAAATTATGTAGTATCTTTTCTCATCAACATACACTTAATGTTGTAAATAGAATACCATGAATTGTATTTGATTATTTAGAAGTAACGGACATTACATACAATGAATTATACATCACACTACAATAATTTTCACTAGTATTATTTACAATGAATTTATTTTGTATATTAATTCAATGGCTATGATAGATAAGTTAGTAAGATACAATGAATTTTGATGTAATCAGAGTTAAACTTTATTGAATCACAATCACTTTTTTAATTAGTGAATATTAATTCATAGACTAATTAATACCTCTATGTAATGATAAAATCTTATACTTCAAAAAACTGAATTCTCATGGTCAAAACATTATTAATTGAGAGGTTCTAAAGAAACTATATATATATAGATATATAGGGTTGGGTTTAGTGAAAAACCGCAAAAAATGAAAAATAGAGGAACACCCTAGTAACCATCCATATTTGCACGGTATGCAATGTGCGTACAAGTACCTTGTCCGGTATGCACGTCTGCATAACATGCACACGTGCATTATAACCAAGAAACATCTCCATTTACTTGTATGCACGTGTGCATTCTGTACAAATGAATGGTTATGAGGGTGCTCCTCAGGTTTTCATATTTTGGGGGGGTTCTCCTCTGAACCTCATTCTATATATTTACACACCTTTCTTTGAGAATGTTTTTTAGCTCCAGGGCAATGCTATAGATTCTTCCCAAGTCTTGTGATGCTGGTAGTCGACAAAGACCATTATTTCTTGACTTTGATGCATCCTTTTCACTTTGTCTTTGTTTGTTTTGTGGGATAGGTGGTACGAGAGAATCAAGTGGTGGTGGTTGTAGGTGAAACTGGTTCTGGAAAGACAACACAATTGACCCAGGTACTTTCCGTTCACAAATTTTACAATACTGTTTGTTATCTGCTTTATATGTTTTGTATCTACTGTTGCATCTTATTTTGATTGTAATATGTGGAAATTTTAAATCGCAGTATTTACATGAAGATGGTTATACAACAAATGGCATAGTTGGTTGCACTCAACCAAGACGTGTGGCAGCAATGAGTGTCGCCAAAAGAGTTAGCGAAGAGATGGAAACAGAGCTAGGCAATTTGGTCGGATATGCTATTCGTTTTGAGGATGTTACTGGTCCCAAGACTGTTATAAAGGTAAACCAACTTCTATATTTCTGGTGGCATTGGGGTGTAAATCAGCTGAGCCAAGTTGAGTAGGAGGTTATTCGAGCTCGAATAACTTTTCCAATGTGGAGCACGAGCTCAAATATTTTTTGAGTTATCGAGCTCGCCGCTCGTTTATCGGCTCGTACTTGTGGTCGATTAACTCGTTTATTGGCTCGAGGTTGATATTTTCATATTTTTATTGTGTTATTTATGAACATATGAGCATGTTTGGCTCGAAAAAATATATATGCTTGAATGGTTTGGCTCGACTCGAATTTTTTTATTGAGCCTCCGAACGAGGTGAGTCGAACATTGGCTTTATGAAGCTCGACTCATTAAGTTAAATGAGTAATATCTTGGTTTCGAGCTTGAGATAAACGAGCTTGAGTATCCCCTGGTGGCATCCCCTCCCCTGTATCTTACAGCCACTTCGAATCTTAAGCTCACAAATCATCATATAACCCTTTAGTTAAGATATTCAATTGTTGTTTTTGTTTTGTTCACAGTACATGACTGATGGTGTGCTTCTACGTGAAACGTTGAAAGATTCAGATCTTGACAAATACCGGTAAGCATTTACCAACAATGTATCTATAATTGTTGTATATATAATTATGGGGTTGTCTAAATTTGCATGCAATGTTGTAGTGTCGTTGTGATGGACGAAGCCCATGAAAGATCATTGAACACGGATGTACTGTTCGGGATCCTTAAGAAAGTTGTTGCCAGGCGTCGGGATTTCAAGCTTATCGTCACTTCTGCTACCCTCAATGCACAGAAATTTTCAAACTTTTTTGGGAGGTAATATTTCTTTCTTGTGTAGTTATGTCTTGAGGAAACATATCATGTCACTGACTTTGGGGTGCATTTGGTACGCGGAACTAGGGGTGTAAACTAGCCGAGTCGAGTAGTAGGTTATTCGAGCTTGGCTCGAAGAAATTATACCAGGTTCGAGCTCGACTCGAGCTCGAATAACTTTTTCAAAGTAGGGCTTGTGCTCTCGAGCTTGAATATTTTTTGAATCATCGAGCTCAATACTCGTTCATGGGTTCGAACTCACAATCGATTATCTCGTTTATTGGCTTGAGCTCGCTAATTTTTATTGTATGATTTATGAATATATGAGAATGTTTGGCTCGAAAAAGTGTATGCTCGAATAGGTCGGCTCGACTCGATTTGACTTGAAGTTTAATCCAGTTCTCGAACGAGCCGAGTTGAACATTGGTGTTACCAGGCTTTGCTCGTTAAATTAAACGAGTTCTATTTTGTATTGAAGATCAACTCAAGCTCGATTATTATTAAGCTCGAGCTTGAGTAGCTCGTTAAAAGCCTGAATCACTTACACCTCTATGCGGAAAAGGATAGAACAAAATATTGTCGTCCCTTGATTAGGGAGATGGGATAAGATAGGTAAATTTACTAAATTAGCCTTGCCAAATTAGAACCCTAAAACCTTCCACAATTCTTTCACCTGCCTACGTCACTCTCAGCCAACCAGTCCTGCTTACCAAATGCATCCTGTTATGACTTAGGCCAGTGCTGTCTGTTTATCGTGTGTTTATAATAATATTACATTTTGCAGTGTCCCAATCTTCCACATTCCCGGGAGAACATTTCCCGTCCAAACCTTGTATAGCAAAAGCCCGTGTGAAGATTATGTCGAAGCTGCCGTAAAACAAGCGATGACGATCCACATCACGAGTGCCCCTGGTGACATACTCATCTTCATGACGGGCCAAGATGAGATTGAGGCAACCTGTTATGCTCTATCGGAACGTATGGAACAGCTCGTTGCTTCAACTAGGCAAGCGGTCTCCAACCTCTTGATCCTCCCCATTTACTCCCAACTTCCTGCCGACTTGCAAGCTAAAATTTTCGAGAAACCTGAAGACGGGGCTCGCAAATGCATCGTGGCTACAAACATTGCCGAAACGTCGTTGACAGTGGACGGAATCTTTTACGTCATTGACACAGGGTACGGTAAAATGAAGGTGTACAATCCACGGATGGGTATGGATGCTCTCCAGGTGTTTCCCGTCAGCCGTGCTGCCGCTGATCAGCGGGCGGGGAGAGCCGGTAGGACCGGGCCGGGAACTTGCTATCGTCTTTATACAGAGAGCGCGTACCAAAATGAAATGCTTCCCCAACCTGTTCCAGAAATTCAGAGGACTAATCTCGGTAATGTGGTTTTGTTACTCAAATCTCTTAAAGTCGAGAACCTGTTGGACTTCGACTTCATGGATCCACCTCCGCAAGATAACATCCTTAACTCGATGTACCAGCTGTGGGTTTTGGGTGCGTTAAACAACGTCGGGGCTCTAACCGATCTCGGATGGAAAATGGTTGAGTTCCCACTGGATCCTCCTCTGGCTAAGATGCTCTTAATGGGAGAACAATTGGAATGTCTGAATGAAGTTCTCACCATCGTCTCCATGCTCTCGGTACCGTCGGTTTTCTTCCGGCCGAAAGACCGAGCAGAAGAAAGCGACGCCGCTCGAGAAAAATTCTTCGTTCCCGAATCCGATCATTTAACTTTACTCAACGTCTACCAGCAATGGAAAGCTAACCAATACCGCGGAGATTGGTGTAACGATCATTTTCTCCAAGTGAAAGGGCTGAAAAAGGCTCGAGAAGTGAGATCTCAACTTTTGGACATATTAAAAACGCTCAAAATCCCTCTCACATCTTGCGGGCCCGATTGGGACATCGTGAGAAAAGCCATATGTTCAGCATATTTCCATAACGCCGCGAGACTAAAAGGAGTCGGAGAATACGTCAACTGTAGGAACGGGATGCCATGCCATTTGCACCCGAGCAGTGCGTTATATGGGTTAGGTTACACGCCCGATTACGTGGTGTACCACGAGCTGATCTTAACAACCAAGGAATACATGCAGTGTGCAACGTCGGTCGAACCGCAATGGTTAGCGGAACTAGGGCCGATGTTTTTCTCCGTTAAGGATTCGGATACGTCGATGTTGGAGCATAAAAAGAAGCAGAAAGAAGAGAAATCGGCTATGGAAGAAGAAATGGAAGCTCTGCGAAAACAACAAGCGGAAACCGAGATACGAAATAAGGCGAAAGAACGAGCGAAGAGGATGAAACAGCAGCAAACGATTTCTATGCCTGGATTGAAGCAAGGTTCTTCGACGTATTTGAGACCTAAAAGATTGGGTTTGTGAAATTGAAATATTGTTTGTATAATTTAAAAGTTCAGAGATTTATTTTGGAAAAGAAAAAGAAAAAAAGAAGAGAGAACAGAGATTTAATGGAGTAGTTTCTTGTAACACTTGAATTTATGATTATGGTAATTGGATGCTGTAGTAAATACGAATTCAGAGAACTGACAATTTTTGGTCTGTTTAGAAATTGGGTTTCATTCATGTTTGTTTAAATGAGGAGTCGAGTAGTAGGTTGTTCGAGCTCAGATATTTTTCAATTTATCAAGCTTGATGCTCGTTTAGAGGTATGTACTCGTGATCGATTAAACTCGTTTATTCATTCAAAGTTTTATCAAGCTTGATCTCGTTTAAAGGTACGTACTCGTGATCGAATAAACGAGCTTGATCGATTATTTCCGTAGGGCCTAGGCCTAGATCTAATTTATAATGTTTTTTGTTTTCGAATTATGCTGGTGGTTTTTATGGTTTTCTAAAATTTTAGATATTATTTTAAAATAAACTATCTGTATTGATGGTTCATAACTTATAATTTTTTAACACTTAAGATTTTTAGAGTTAACACCGTTAGTTAATAACCGTTAGAAAGGACACATATGTTTTTAAGCGAAATACAGTGACCAAAAGTGTGATTCACTATACATTTAATTGTGATTGACAATTTTTTTTTTATTAACCTGGATATCCAATCCGTTATGTGAGCCGACTAATTCCAGGACGACCACCTGTTTTACGGATAGTCCGGAGTCACTGCATTTGAACCTCCATGGCCATAAGAGGATTTTGATTCCTTCTTGAATTTGAACTTGAGACCTCTAGGCACTTTGACTTTTAGAACTCAAACTCAAACCAATTGGACACTACTCTTGTGATTAATTTCTTTATTAAAAATATTTTAAATAGAGTTAGTAAAAAAAATGTTTCAGTTATGATATTATTTAACTGTCGTAACTTATTCATAGTTATTTAACAATTTCTCATAATATTTTAATTTCGAAAATATTTTTAATAAAAAAAAATATATTCAAAGCAAAATATAAATCATAATTAATTTTAATTGTAATTTATGTAAAGACTGATTTATTATTTATAACGATTGTTAAAATCCCAATTAAAAAAATCCGAATCACAACTAAAAGAAAAAGACGAGCAGAGAGCGTTTTCTGCGAATGCTAGTTTTTCTATTTTATTTTTGTGTACACATCTCGCGAAAAGAGTAGACAAAATCACAACCATAAAAAGAATCCACATTTTTATCAAGATTAAATTTAAAAAATGGATGATTCAGCTTCAAATATAACCATTTTTATAATAAAGTTAATTATGGAAAAATGTAATCATCAGTATCATTGATAACCGTTAGATCATAATCGATGATTTGATTAGTTCTCATTTTCATAAGAGCTTTATTTACATTAGCATCTAATATTTTATCATCAGTTTTATTTATTCTATAAAACATTGGTTGTTTGACAGTTGTCAAAATGATTAAGAGACGATCTCATGATACAATGCAAAATGAAATATAATGTTTGGTAATTATTTACAATAAAATTAGGATGTTGAATGATTAAGAGGAACTTATGATATAAAATCATTCAGGGTTATAGAATCATTAAAAAGCAAACTTTTTTTACTTCTTAACAATTTAAAGACCGACTCTTAATGAAACTATTAAGAGATAAACAAATAACCTCTTAATCTGATAAATAAAAAACAACAGTATATAAACTATAAACAGAATTTGATATCGAACTAATATTTATTAAATATTTGATATTTTGGCCATCACAGAAAGAGGGTGGCTTTTTCCTCCTAAAATTAGGAAAAAACTAATAACTAAAATTTGGGTTTATTATTTTTGAAAATTATATCAAAAATATTTTCAAAAACAAACCCTGGTTACGGAAACTAAGCCTAGGTTAATACTCTGAAGGGCATTTCTGTCACTCTTCGGTATCTTTTAAAATGTATTTTCTCAAACTTCACTCTCCACCGCAAAACTTCCACTGCCACCACCACCACCAACAACGCCGCCGCTGCCATCACCACCACCACCTCCGCTACCACCGCAAAGTTGCAACAACTCCACCACCCCATCAATTGCAAACCCTCCACTTTTCTTCTTTTCAACACCACCACCACTGATGCCGCCGATGCCACAGCCATCGCCACCGCCACCGCCACCGCCACCACCGCAAAGTTGCAATAGCTCCTCCACCACCCCATCAATCTCCTTCTCTCCTTTCACCCTCAGATCACCACTCATTTTCTTGGCTTTTTTCCTCACACCTTCCCCTAACTTACTCACCACCACTCGTCTCACCACTGCCGCCACCTTTTCCCGCCTCAACCGCCCATCCGCCTCCCTCACCACCTCCACCCCGACCCCAACCTCCGTCACCAGCCGAGCGTTGACCGGCTGGTCAAGATGCATTGGCATTGCAATTATTGGAACACCAAATTTCATGGCTTCCATTACTGAACTCCATCCACAATGACTCACAAAACCTCCTACACTTTTGTGCCCTAATATTTTTGTTTGTGGGGCCCATCCTTCAACCACTAAACCCCTGTTTCTTACCTTTTCAAGAAACCCTAATGGCAAAGCTTCTTCAACCCTAATATTTCTTTCCCCTTTTGGAAACCTCAAGACCCAAATGAAGTTAACTTTACTCATCTCTAACCCATATGCGATTTCTTCGATATCGGCACTCGAAAGAAAATATTCACTTCCGAATGAAACAAAAACGGTAGATCCAGTGGCTTTTGTATCAAGCCACTGGATCGTACTGTTCTGTTTCGTATCAAGAAACGGGTCCACAACAAGTGGACCCACGGGTACAACTTTTTTACCCGTGAGAAGAGAAAGGTAATCCCCGTACTTACCTTCGACCTCCTTGAACGACTTAACAAGGACAATACTCGAAGACCGGTCGACACACTCCATAACACGGTCTTTATCTTTACGGTTATTTGCCGAGCTTTCAAGAATCTCGGATATGTGAACGCACTCGTAGCTACGAAAGTAAATCGAGGAGAATGGAAACTCAACGCCTGTGGAGGAATGCAAGTAAAGATGAAACATGGTGGCAGCCATGGTGGTGCTGGTGGTGATGAACACCACTGAAGGGATCCCAATGGCAGCAGCGGCAGCCGCCGCCCACGGCTGAATAAGGTCGTAAATGAGCAAATCGGGCTTAAGGGTATTCAAGATTCTTGAAAAGGTTGGACTTGCCATATCAAAAGCTTGTTTGAGAGATGGCATAAGATAGAGAGGGAGGCCATTGGTGGTGTGAAGGTGGGGTGGGAGCTCCGGCAACGGCGGAAGGTGGAGGTCGATGAGTCGAATCTCGGAGTTGTTTCCTAGGGTTTTTTTGATGGATTCTAGGTTAGCAGGAGTGGAACAAAGGTGGATGTTGAAAAGGTTAGTGTTACTTAGCTTTTTGGAGAGTTCTAGGAAAGGAGAAATGTGGCCATGGCCTAACCATGGAAACATCAAAAGGTTCTGCTTTCTGCCATGGATGTTCATCATGATTTGCAGAAGGTGGTTGTTTGTTGATGATGAGAAGGTGGTTGAAATGGTGGAGATGGTGGTGTTATATACAGAAATGAAGGTGGTATTATGGGAAGTGCATAAAATAAGGAAAAAATCGGTTTATTTACATGCATCTTATTTTACTTGGGATTTTTTTTTCTTATTCCTTTTATAAATTATAGTACGTGACTACGTGGCAGACTCAGAATTTTTCTGAGGTGGGGCATTAAACACTCGCAAATTAATGAGAGACTATATCAGCAACGGATCAACGATGAAAGACCCTTTTAGCGGCGGATCAGTGAGGAAAAATAGAATTATACTATTTCAAAAAAAAATTAAGATTTTTTTGATGATTTCGATGGTTATTTTTCGGTTTTTTTGGTTGATTTTGAATGGATTTTTAGTTGAGTTCGAAGGACTTTTGGATTTTTGGTTGATGTTTGTTCTATTTTATGATATTTTGGAGCATCGCTCAATTTTTAGCGGGTGCACGTTTTATTATCCCAATTTTTTTTCATTACAAAATAAGATTGAGCGGATATACAGGACTCTGCTCGGGATCTAATAGGTTTGTCCCTAGTTGTAATAAGAATTTTAGTTTTATCAATTTCACCCGATAATTAATATAACCAAAATCAGCAAATTTATAAATATACCTGTCAAGAAGAAAGTTCGGTTGAGAACTAAGTTTTATTGCAAATCGAGGGAGGACCATCGAAAACGTGCTAGATGTTTATATTCATCATGAATAGTGAATATGAGTTTTTTACAGAAGTCGAGCTGAATGTATCGAACATGTGATATATTTTCAATGATTTCTAGGTTCGTAATGGAATACGGTTCTCAACCGAATCTTCCCTACCGGAAAACTCCGGGTTTTGAATTAAAAAACGTTAAATCTTTTTGCAATTAAAGAAATTAATTAATTGGTTTATTTTCCTAAATTGAACTTAAGTGTAACCTAAATCGGAAATAAAATGGATTTGGTTGTTATAAAATCTTTGGAAGCATCTTTGTCAGAAAATTAATTACTTATAATAAATTGTATGAAAAAGTCTTCATAACCTACTTTTAAAATTTTTATTTTGATATATAATAAAATCTTCATTTTGATATATAATATGTAAAGTTTTAAACATTTAAGTTATTAGGTAAATGATTGAAGCATTAACCGGTTGTCATGTTGATTTGACGATGAGATGAAATTGGATTGAATAACAAATAATACTGAGTTGGATACCACATTATTTGTTACATCAGCATGATATTCGGTTAAAGTTTTGAAAGTATGTTACTTAAAATAAGAATCAAGTAAAAAGTACGTTATTTTTTTATATAATTTGTCTTTTTTGAAACTATTTAAGAATATAATATATTAAAAGTAATAAATTTTTTGTTTTATTTTTTATTTATAAAAATAAAAAATATAATAAAGTAATAA